AATCCCTATCAAAATAACAATGACCTCTTCACAGAAATAGAAAAAAAGAAACCAAAAATTTTTTAATGGAATTCAAAGTTCCTGAAAAGCCAAAGTCATCTTAAGCAAAAATAATAAAGCAGGAAGCATTGAACTACCTGAGGGAAAAATATAACCATGTTGGAGGAATTAAAGCCACATTGATGTCATCAAGTTAGAGACATAGAACAAGGAAGCAAAATAGAGAGCCAAGAAGTAAACCCACAGGTCCATAGGCAACTGACTTATCAAATGTCCCTTGTAGAAAACATAGTCTTTTAATAAATGACATGGAGAGAGTTGGATAACCACAGGCAAAAGGACCCAAAACAAACCAGACCCCTCTCTCTCAGTTCAAAAACCACTCAAAATGCATGAAAGATATGAACATAAGAACAGAAATCATAAAACCAGTGGAAATGGTTTAGGACATTGGATGAGTAAAGGCATTATTTATTTATTTATTTTTACAAATAAACCTCCAATCTCAGAGAACTAAAGTAGAAATAAGACACATGGGTTGTGCACAGCAAAGGAAATAATCAAGAGTGTGAAGAGACAACCTACATAATGGAAGAAGAGATTTGAAAACTTTACATCCATCTAGAAGGGCATGGGATATTCAGAATATAGAAGGAACCCAAAACCCAGAGAAAAACAGAACAAAACAAAACATAAAACCCAGACAAGCAAATAACCTGATTACAAAATGGGCAAATAGACCTGAACAGACATTTCTCAAAGACATACAAATGGCCAACTGGTATATGAATAAAAGCTCAGTTTCACTAATCATCGGGGAAATACAAATCCAAATCACTGTGAAATGTTACCTCACCACAGCAAAGCAGCCTTATGGAAAAACTAAAACTAACTAGTGCTGGCAAGATGTAGAAGAAAGGAAAGCAACCCTGTATGTTGTGGGTGGGAATACAGATTATCACAACCATATGGAAAACTGTGATCCACCAATTTTAACCCTGAGTTTAAATTCAAAGTAAATTAGGTAAGCATGGTCTACTAATTGCATCTATTCAGGAGGCTGAGGTGGAGGATGGCAAGTTTGAGGCCAGATTGGCAAGTTTAGGAGACCCTAACTCAAAAATAAATACATAAAAATAATTTAAAAGGGTCATGGATATAGTTCAATGGTAGGGAGCCCTGGGTTCAATCCATAATACCATAGTTAATAAATGAATTCAGCCAGGGGCAGTGGCACACGTCTGTAATCCAGGTGGCTCCAGAGGTGGAGGCAGGAAGATAGCGAGTTCAAAGCCAGCCCCAGCAATGGTGAGGCACTAAGCAACTCAGTGAAAACCTGTCTCTAAATAAAATACCAAATAAGACTGGGGATGAGGCTCAGTGATTGAATGCCCCTGAGTTCAACTCCCCACTCAAAAAAAATTAAAAAATGAATTCAAAGGAAATGAAATCAGTATGTCAAAAAGACATCTGTACCCTAGTGTTCTCTGTGTGATGCTTCCAATACTAAGATATGGAAACAAACTAAATGTCCAAGAACTGATAAGTGGGTTAAGAAAATGTGATACATATGCATTAAGAAATTTGGCTCAGGTATAACAAAGAATGAAATCCTGTCATTGGCAACAGGAGATCATTATATAAAGTGAAATAAGTCAAGCAAAAGACAGTTTCTGAATGATCTCACTCATGTGTGGAATCTTGAGAAGTCCTTCTCACAGAAGTTAAGAATCAAGTAGTTTTTACCAGAGGATGGATATAGCAGGGGGTCGGAGTGTTGTTAGGAGCAAGAAGATCTAGTGAGTCATGGCTCAGAAGGGAGACTACAGGTAACTCTTAAGCAGTGTGCACTTCAAAAAGCCAGAAGCAAGGATTTTAAAGGTTTTTACCTCAAATAAATGATAAGTATTTGAAGACACAGATATGTTAAACTTTGCTTAAATGGTACACACTATGTTTGTGTATAAGACAATCCAATGGTACGAGTCAATATATACATTTTTTTGTGTTTTCATTTATCAGTAAAAATAAATTTAATTTTAAAAATATAATAATGAGCTTGATCCCTAAAGTCTCTTTAATTGCTTCTTCCTTAGAAAATCAGCACAGGGAATTGTAGATAGTCTCACAGAAGAAATCTCCAGAGTCTCCAAATCTGTATAATTCTCTCTGGATCTCCATGTACTTGCCTCTGAAATCCCAAAGACTCCACATCACTTTGTTTTAGAAGAAACACACTAGATGCCAGCTCCACTGGATATCCTTTCTTCATCTGCATGATTATTGTTGGTATGCAGCCTTCTTCAAACCTGAGGGTTTGCTATGAGCCTTCAATTATGGTCAGAGAAACATTCCAAGAAAAAAATCACTTTGGTTGACTTTTAAATGATATTATTTTTATGAGATGTTCTTTGGATGCTTCATTTATATATGGACATGATTTATGAATTGAGAGAAGTAACATTATCCTATGTATTCTATGTAGAAGGGGGGGGGTAAATAATTCTTCCTGGGGAACAGAAAGAACTCATGATAGAGTCTGAACTAGATCCATGTTAACTGTCTTTCCTCCTTTTCTGCTGCCTTAGAGAACATGGAGTCTTTTGACAACTACCTGAGAGAGGCCTCCTTCAGAGCACTTGTTCCATTTTTCATTCCTGACTTAATGAATTTAAAAGTACCCATCTGGATAAACTGCCTTTCACTTCTATCAGAGTGGTGAGTTCTCTATTCCGTAACATTTCAGGGAGATGTGTAAGTCATGCAAAAGCACTGGGCTACCTGTGCCTGCTATGAGTTATTCGAAATCAGAAAGAAATATTTCAGAAAGTTCCTAATAACTGAAGCAAGTCTATGAATAAACATCAAAACATCTATGATGGAGACTTTAGTGATGCATAGAACAAATCTTGCTTTTTTTTCAACAACTAAAGAAATAAAAACAAAAAGTATGACAGATGATACTTTGATTGATTAGAGAACTTACCTTGTTCAGTCTATATTTGAATGTCATCAAAGTTTAAAATGCAAACAGAAACAAAATCCCAGAAGTGAAATGATCCTTTTTTAAAAGTACAAAATGATCCTAAATGAATTAACAGGCTCGGAACTGCATTTAAATCTTTCACCATTGTCTTAGGCTGATTCTTGGGAGGTGGCTCTCACTTGTGAATTTTGAGTCTTTCTCATTCTACCTAAATTGTAGAGCCTCGCCCAACTTCTCTTATTCTGCTTCCTTTCTGATAAAATATAAACAACAATACAACCTACTTTACACCTGCACACTTACACAGCACTTCTGTTCAAATCCCTTAGGATATAGATAAAAACACAGTATATACCAAAAGTGACCAAGGGCATTAAGACTGGCAACCATGATGTCTTCATGGGAATGCTCCAAATTTAAGGTGTCAAATACTTAAAAGAAGTAGGGTAGGCAGTATCCAAATTATAGATTTCAAGAAAGAAATTTTCAACAGGACTGGTTCACATGGAATTGCAGCAACAGCAGTCACATGCTTAGAGTAATGACGGAATCAGTGGAGAACATACAAACCTAAATGGCCAATTGTGAGGAGAAAAGAAAAAATGGGGAAAGAAGCTTAAGGCATCAAGGTCACCCACAACTGAAGGCTCGAATATGAGCATCCACCTCACATGTGATTCATTCATCAAACCAGCAAGACTGTTATCCCATTCTAGCCACATGATGGTTAGCACCTATCAGGATGTTCTAGGCACCCAACATTTTATTTTCTTTTATGTATTATTTAGTTTTCATAAGAATATCTCAAAGTAGGTCTATTTAATGTCTTCATTTTGCAGATGAAAATATGATGTTCATAGGAGTTACGTTAGGGCCAGTGACACTTAGGTGGTAAACAGTAGGTCCGTTGTGCATCTCTTCTAGGAATCTGAACTCTGAGACATCTGAATCTGATATGCCTTCAGTCTCAATCCCCTCTTCAGGCAACAAATGATCCCACCATCCCAGCTAACCAACTACAGCTACTGTTTTGGTTCAAGAGTCAGATTCATCTCTGCCTAATCAAAGGTCATGCCATTAGGCACATCAGTATCAACATGTGTAGATGTGCTGCTGATGATAAGCATGAGATTGCTGGGGAAGGTTAATATACAACGCAGAGCTTATCAATTAATTTAGGGTCTTCTCTGTTTGAAACAAGAACCATTTCACTGTTATACATTTGCTTATTTCTTCTATCTCTAATGAGAGGCACACATTATTGTAAAGAGGATGAATCCACCATCTCATCAATCACTCCTATAGATCACTATGAAACCCCAAATGCTGTTTGTAATTCACTTTATTTTTTAATTTTTTATTTTTTTTGGTGGTGCTGGGAATTGAACCCAGGGCCTTGTACATGTGAGGCACAAACTCAACCAACTGAGCTATATCCCCAGCCCCCTTGTAATTCACTTTAGCTCCTTAGACTTAGAAACCATTCAGCATGGGTTAAGAATTGGCATGGGTCCAGAGCACAGATGGCTAATTAAAGATTTCACCAATATGAATGAGTTATTCTACCTGTTTTACATCAATATTTACATGAATGTGACAATGAAACAAATTCATAATGTTGTTTAGAGGAGACACAGAATGCACATTTAATATGCCTCCAGCAATTACTAGAAGGTGAGCAATGTGAAAGTTTCATTTTTTTTCCTAGGAGGCTTTGGTGGATTGAGAGATATGACCATAGAAATAATTTTCATTAAGCAGTTTAACTGACTACATCTCAGATTAATATTTGAAAAAAAAAATGAATTGTTTACATGATTCCTGAGATGCTACAGCGTGCGACCATCTATATTAGCCTTGCACTCAATTTGATCCTGAAGGTCATATTTGTACTAGAGAATGTCAACTTATTACTACAATTAAAGAATAAATATTGTGCATATAATTTCAATTTTCAACTATTCTGTTCTTTCTTCTCATAGCTATAGAACACTCAGTGATTCTCAGGTAACTGATGGAGAATAGGACAGAAGTGACACAGTTCATCCTTCTGGGACTGACCAATGACCCAGGTTTGCAGCTTCCCCTCTTTGTGACCTTCCTCCTCATCTACACCATTAATCTTGTTGGGAACCTGGGGATGATCCTGTTGATTGTCTTGGACTCCCGTCTCTACACTCCCATGTACTTTTTCCTTGGCAACCTGTCTCTGGTGGACATTTGTTATTCTTCAGCTGTCACTCCCACGGTCATGGCTGGACTCCTTCTAGGAGACAAAATCATCACCTACAATGCTTGTGCTGCTCAGATGTTCTTTTTTGGAACCTTTGCCTTTGTGGAAAACTACCTGTTGGCCTCAATGGCCTATGACCGCTATGCAGCAGTGTGTAAGCCCCTGCACTACACCACCACCATGACAACTAGTGTGTGTTCATACCTGATCATAGGCTGCTATGTCTGTGGATTCCTGAGTGCCTCCATCATCACTGGGAACACTTTCAGTCTCATCTTCTGTAAGTCCAATGTGGTCCACCATTTTTTCTGTGATGTTCTAGCAGTCATGGTTCTCTCTTGTTCAGATAAACATATTAGTGAGCTTGTTCTTTTTTATATTGTGAGTTTCTGTATCTTTTTTTCTCTCCTCATTATCTTAGTATCCTACATGTTCATTTTTATCACAATCCTAAATATGCACTCAGCTGCAGGACATAGGAAGGCTATATCTACCTGTGCCTCCCACTTCACTGCAGTCTCTATTTTCTATGGGACCCTAATATTCGTGTATATACAGCCCAGCTCCAGTCACTCTGTGGACACAGACAAAATTGCATCTGTGTTCTACAGTATGGTCATCCCTATGCTGAATCCTTTAATCTATAGCCTGAGGAACAAGGAGGTCAAGATTGCATTCTTAAGGGTCTGGGTTGAAAAATCAGGTGAGATTTGAATTGGTTTCCCTCTACATGTGGCTTGATGTTTTTCTCTGGCAGCCTTTAGAATTTATCCTTATTCTCAATGTTAGGCATTTTCATAATAATGTGCCTTGGTGGGGATCTATTGTAATTTTGTATATTTGGGGTCCTGTATACTTCCTATATTTGATTTTCCCTTTCACTCTTAAGGTTTGGAAAATTTTTAGGTATTATTTCATTGAAAATGTCATGCATTCCTTTTGTTTGTATCTCCAAGCATTCCTCTATCCTGGAAAATTTTAAGTTTTGTATATTCATTTTATCCTATATATCTTAAAGTCCTGCTCATGGTGTCTTAACATCTATTCTCCATGGTCAAATTTATTTTTAAGATTATATATTTTGTTCACATTGCCTGAGATTCCATATTTAAATGGTCTACTTTGCTCTTGATAGATTCCAATGAAATTTTATTTAGTTTATTGATTCCTTCATTTTGAGAATTTCTGCTTAATTTTTTTCAGAATTTATATCTCTTTATTAATGTAATTTTTTCTTCTGCATTTTTCCCCTTACATTATTCTTTGCCTCACAGATGAATTTAAATATGAACATTCTAAACTCCTGAAATCAATTTTGAATTCAGTCAGTGAATTCAGTTTTGTTGTATTTTTGTTTGAGACAATTTGTTCCCTGGGTTTTTAAGTTTTGGGTTTTTTGGTTTTTATTGTGTGTGTGTGTGTGTGTGTGTGTGTGTGTGTGTGTGTGTGTGTGTGTCTGCTCATCTAGCAGTTGATTTCGAGGCAGTAGAATTTTATCTTGTGGAATTATACTGTCCCTCAAGGTTTCTAGTACCTGACAGTTTAGAGGGAGACAGATAATAACAACAACCAATGCAAACAATTTACAACATTAAACCAAATAGATCTTGTGATAAAATCTACAATGTTGATTGTTACAATAATCAGAAATTATATGATCAGTTCTTGCTCACAGTAAAAACAGTGAGTTTATATAAGAGTTTACAATTTCAGGGATAGAACAGAAGTAATGTAGAATGTGATGATTATGTCAGAGGAGGAGAAAAGTAGAAGTAAAAAAATAAAGAAAGAATGAAAGAAAGGATAGAGTTTGGCTATTAGCAGAGGAAAAAAGACACCAAAATTTGGGGGAATCCAAAAATGAGAGAAAAATACAAATAAAATTTTAAAATAGGAAATTTCAAATGGGAAAAAATACAGAAAAGAAATAAAAACGTATAAGAACAAAGTTCATATATACAATCAAATATCTTAGTCCTCAATATATTGATCCATGAAAAATAATTGCCTTCAAGTGCAAGGGTAGAAATGAGAAAAAATAAAGATATATAAATATGCATAAGTATCCAGTTAAACGCAGAGTTCTTTAAGAGGAAAATCAGAAAAGTTGAGGTGATAGAAAAATATTTGTAGATTCAAGAGGTGAGTAGGATATATGCTGAGGTGATGTATGATGTGTTTATAAGAGTGGAGGACAAACAAATAGAGGGAAGAGAATTAAAGGAAGAGTAATAGAGCAACAGAATTTGGCTATTGGCAAGAAAAAAGAGAAAAATTTGGACAAATGAAAACATAGTTGTGAAAAGTCAATAGAAAACAATCCAAAATATGCTAATCAAGAACCTGAATTTCAAGGAAAAAAAGAAATAAAATGCATGAAAAAATAGCTATCATCAAGAAATGCTAAAACTTAAAAAAAGCAGAAACAAATATGTATGTATATAAATACATAAATTTCCATCATTTATCAATCAGTACGTATTCAGAAACAAATCAAAACATAACAAAAGCAAAAAAAAAATAGCAAAATAGTCAATGAGGGGTTTTGCTTCCTGTCTGTGCCAAACTGAGTTTCTGATTCTCAGCTTCCCTTCTCAGCTGGGTGGTGTGAGGAGTTGTGGAAGATGCTCACAGATTGACTTCCTGGGCATTGTCTTTGGGCTCTGTGTGATGAGTTGCTGCAATTGAAGCTCTCAGGGGTGGGCATTTGGACTGGTAATGCCCCAGGTGCTTTATTATGAGGGGAGTTTGGGGTGTTAATTAGTCAATACAATTCTAGGACTGTACCCCATTACTCTCCCCAGGGTACCACGTGGGAAAGGAAGTTGAACCCCTAACTGGTTCTATTGTTCAGGGATACCGTGCTGTGTTGGCTTCTCAGGACTGTTTCCCAGCACTGTGCTCAGTCACTCCATCCCATTTAGAATCTCCTTTGGTCCTGCTTGCTGTAGGGTTCAAAGAAACAGGGGGTGGGCTTTCTCTGGCCTTTCTAATCTGCATTACCCCTCAGCAAAATGGTCTCCATGCCAGAAATTCACTGTGCAAGAGATTCTCCTTATTTTCTAGGCTCACTTTAGATCTCATAGTTGGCATCTGCCAGATTCATGTATTGATTTCAGCCAGGAACTCATGGATCTAAACTCCTACTCTGACTTCCCTCCACTGTCTCACAGAGGTATTAAAGTGGTTCTGACTTGGGTTCTGGGTGCATGGCTAGGAGGTCTTGGAATAATATATGACAAGCTCTGAAAGAAATCGTATGCCAAACAAGAATATTATACTCTGCAAAAATAAGCTTCAGATTTGACAATGACATAAAAACTTTACATGATAAACAGAAGTTAAAAGAATTCACAACTAATTGAATGAACTACAAAACATTCTCAATAAATAAAATATATCATGAAAAAGAAAGAAAAAACTTAAACATGAAACCAGCAAAGGGAGAAAATGTACTAAAATAAAAATCAGTCAAAAGAGAAACTAATTTAAATTAAAAACCAGAAATAATTCAAAATGACAGGGAATAAAAATCATTTCTCAATAATAACATTGAATGTAAATGGCCTAAATTCATCAATCAAGAGACACAGACTGGTAGATTGGATTAAAAAACAAGACACAACAATATGTTGTCTCAAAAAACTCATCTCATAGACAAAAACATCCACAGACTGATTGTAAAAGGATGGAAAAAATTTGCTATTCATATGGATCTTGTAAATAAGTGGAGGTTTCTATCCTTCCATCTGAGAAAGTAGACATCAAGTCAAAATTAATCAAAAGGAACAAAGAAGACCATGTCATACTGTTAAGGGAATATATATCAATAAGATATAATAATCTTAGATATTTATGACCCAAATAATGGAGCATCTACATATATGAAGCAAATCCTTCACAATCTTGAGAATCAAATAGATCATATTACAATAATACTTGGTGAGCATGCCTCTCTCACCAATCGATAGATCTTCCATACAAAAACTAAATAAAGAAGCAATAAAACTAAAAAATACAATTAATAATTTGGACTTAGTGTATATATATATATATATATATATATATATATATATATATAAAATATTTCATCCATAAATGAATGAATACATTTTCTTCTCAGATGCACATGGAACATTCTCTAAAATAGACCATATCTTAGGCCACAAAGAAACTCTTAGCAAGTACCAAACATTAGAAATAATACCTTGTCTTCCTGCTCTTCCTGAAAGTTAAGATTAACATTAAACAGATACATGAGGTGGGATGGAAAGGGAGAGAAAAGGGAAATTGCATGGTAATGGAGGGAGACCCTCATTGTTATACAAAATTACATATAAGAGGTTGTGAGGGGAATGGGAAAATAAACAAGGAGAGATATGAATTACAGTGGATGGGGTAGAGAGAGAAGATGGGAGGGGAGGGAGGGGGGATGGTAGAGGATAGGAAAGGTAGCAGAATACAACAGTTACTAATAGGGCATTATGTAAAAATGTGGATGTGTAACCGATGTGATTCTGCAATCTGTATTTGGGGTAAAATTGGGAGTTCATAACCAACTTGAATCTAATGTATGAAATATGATATGTCAAGAGCTTTATAATGTTTTGAACAACCAATAAAAAAAATAAAAAAATAAAGAAATAATACCTTGTATTTTATAAGGTCATAAAGAAATGAATTTGAAATTAATAATAAAATAAAAGATAGAAGCTATGCTAATAACCTGAAGACTAACTAATACATGATTGAATGACCAATGGATAGTTGAAAAAATCAAGTATGAAATAAAAAAAATACTTAGAGATAAATGAGAAAAGATGCATATCTGCTTATATTTGAGTGATTATTACATACACCAAAATATGCAATTAACTGAAATGATTCTAACATTGCAGGTAGATTATACATGACTGGGTATGTTAGTAGAAAACATAGGTAAATTCTGCACACTAATATAGATCTGGACCTTCATGTTTTAAATTATATCTTCGGGGAGCTCAGTATTAGTGTCTTTTGTTCTTGGGTGGTAGCATTTACTCTGCAATGGTGGGACCCAATTAATCTGATGGTTTCAGTTTCAAAGGTTTGCTTCTTACCATCCTACAGTGGGTAGCAGATTTAAAATAACACATCCTCTCTACCATTCCACTTGTCCTTGTATTTGAGTCTCTTCATGAAGCCACAGTGTGTCAGGTTTTCTAATTCTCATGTTATTGCCACCTTTGATTCTACCTTTAAGCCAACTAAACAAACAACCCGTTGAACCCTTACTAACTCCCTGAAATAAACATTTAATGCAGAATCTCTGACAGAGAGTCTTCATCTTATTATTTTGCCCTGATTCAGCTTTTGCTTTCTTCCACAAGAACTAAAACCTTACTATCTTTTCCTATATATGTGCCCAAGGTTTCATTCCACGTATTTATAAAACATAAGCAGTTCATATGGAGATTAGTCCATTTCCCCATATGTCACATGCTGCTTAGGGGGTATCTGAGACTTGAGTCTAGTAAAGATCAAGAAGCAAAGAGCCATGGTGGTAGGTCCTGCAACCCATCCATTTATCTTGCAGAGCAACAGCCTTAATGTGATTCAACAAATTTTGACTGTTAAGTGTAAGGTCAAAGGAAACTTACCTTAGGCAAATCAGGATTAATTCCCTGAGGTACAATGTAGAGGTTTATTTTGCTGGAGGTAGAAAGGCTAATTCT